AATAAAAATGATGTTATATGGACTTATGAACATAACTATCAAGTTGCTGAGGAAGTCTCAAATAGAGACGAAACGTTCAACGGATAAATATAGTGTTCATCTTAATTAAACCCGTCCAAAAAACAACTTCCCTAAGAGTAAACTTAGTAATAATATTAATAAATTTTGGATAAGAAAAAAATCTTGATTATGTAATCAATTATATTCTTTTTTAAAGTAAACAGTATCAATAATTGTATTTCAGAATTTATTACAATTAAATCCAAGAACAAAATCATTTGCAAATCTTGTTCCATCCACAACAACTAAAGCAGTTAAACAAAATTGGAAAAGAAATATCCACGATAAATGTGACGTAAGTTTAAATAATGATAATTATTTTACAACATTTAACACTGTTGAGACAATAGTTGTTTAAATGAGTTTTAAATTAATCTATTATCTATTAGCTTTTGAAACTTATCATGAATTATCAGTTATCAATAATTAACACTCGTATCTTCTTCGCGTACAATTCGTTTGACGAATTCTCATGTATGACGAAATGAGAAATCTATTATAAATAAGGCATTGAAAAAAATATAAACATATTACTTACTTTTAATGGTTTATAGGGAAAAAAATTTAACCATAAACGCTTTTGTCAAACAGATTGTACATATAATAAATATATTTTGTAAAAAAATCGAATAACTTAATTAATAATTAGGAAAAATTTGTCTTTTTAAATTCACGATTAACAAAACTATTTATTTTATATCGAATTTCGTTATTTACAGAATTGTCTACCATTAAAAAATAACTTCGATGATATCAAACATACGACATTGAGTGAAAGAGGTTCTTTGAAGGAAGCGGCTCGTTGTTTGAAATGTGCTGATGCACCTTGTCAAAAGTCCTGTCCAACGCAATTGGATATTAAATCTTTTATTACTTCAATATCGAACAAAAATTATTATGGGGCAGCTAAAGCTATTTTTTCGGATAATCCTTTGGGTCTTACGTGTGGAATGGTTTGCCCAACAAGTGATCTTTGTGTTGGTGGATGTAATCTTTATGCCACTGAGGAAGGACCTATCAACATTGGTGGTTTACAACAATTTGCTACCGATGTAATAAAAAACACTTTTTTTTTTTTAAATTAACTATTTGCATTAATTCTTTTCACTTAACAAAATGTTATCACATAATATCTTTGGTAGTCAATTTCTAAGGAATTCTTTATTTATATTCATTAATTGTTTTTATTCATTTTATTAATATATTTTATTAATATATTTTATATTTGAATATTATCATTTTCAATTTATCATTTTAATTTATGCTTTCAGATTTTCAAGCAAATGAATGTTCCTCAAACACGAATACCTAATCAATCCGTCCCACATGCTGACACAAAAATCGCATTGATCGGTTGCGGTCCAGCGTCTTTATCTTGTGCCACGTTTCTTGCACGATTAGGCTACAATGACGTAACTATTTTTGAAAAATACAATTACATTGGTGGTCTCAGTTCTTCCGAAATTCCACAGTATCGACTTCCCTATGACGTAGTAGATTTTGAAATAAATCTGGTTAAAGATCTCGGGGTCAAAATCGAAATGAATAGATCGTTAACAGAAAAAGATTTAACGATCCGGGTAAATTCATTTTATCATTTTAAGTAAATTTTGGTCAATTTTATGTATTTAGAAGTGAAGAAAAATTTTCTTTTCATATTTTTGTTTTTTTTTCAGGGACTTTTAAAAGCAAATTACAGAGCCATTTTTCTGGGAATTGGCCTTCCCGAGCCAAAAACGTTAACAATATTTTCCGGTTTAACATCAAACGAAGGATATTACACGTCAAAAAGTTTCCTTCCCCTTGTAGCTAAAGGTAGTAAACCTGGAATGTGTTCTTGTAAGAGTAACGAAAAATTACCACGATTACGAGGGAATGTAATAGTTTTGGGTGCTGGTGACACAGCATTTGATTGTGCAACCTCTGCTTTAAGATGTGGTGCTAAGAAGGTCTACGTTATTTTTAGAAAAGGTTTTACTAATATTCGTGCTGTTCCTGAAGAGGTATGTACTAATTAGTGTATTTAAAATATTTCATTAACTCCTTAACACATACACAAAACTCTTCAAACCCATTTATGATCTCTTACAAATCGGTCATTATCTGCTAAAATTTGCCTATAATGATTCAGATTGATCTAGCTCGAGAAGAAAAATGTGAATTTATACCTTTCCAATCACCGAAACGAGTGATCGTTCGTAATGGAAGAATTGTTGCTGTTGAATTTTATCGAACTGAACAAAATGATGATGGCGACTGGATTGAGGACGATGAACAGATATTCCGATTAAAAACTGATTTTGTTATATCGGCTTTTGGATCGGGATTACATGATTTGGATGGTAATTAATAAAATTACATAAATTATATATATATACTTACATATAAGTATGAATAATCAATAATATACCTAAGTAAATGTAAATAAATACTAAATCTCGATAATTAATTAACAGTAAAACAAGCTATGGTACCAGTTAAATTAAATACATGGGGCTTACCAATAGTAGATACCAAAACCATGAGCACATCCGTTCCTGGAGTATTTTGTGGTGGTGACTTGGCTGGTATTGCACAAACTACTGTGGAATCTGTTAATGATGGAAAAACGGCTGCTTGGTACATTCATAAATATTTACAGGTACATATTTACCTTACTTGTTAAGTAATACAAATTATAGATACTCTATTACATATCTATATATAATATTTTATAGGAATCCTTTGGTTTAATGGTTCCGGACACACCACAATTACCAAAATTCCATACACCGATTGATGAAGTTGATATAAGCGTAGAAATGTGCGGTTTAAAATTTGAGAATCCATTTGGCCTTGCATCTGCACCACCATGTACAACTAGTGCAATGATTCGTCGTGCATTTGAAGCTGGCTGGGGCTTTGCTGTTACTAAAACATTTTCTTTAGATAAGGTACATCGTTGAAAACCATGTAAAAAATCATAATTTCGATTTTCTTATATGCGATATACCTTTAAGGATTTGGTTACCAACGTATCACCACGTATCGTTAAAGGAACAACATCAAGGCATCATTTTGGACCTGAACAAAGTAGCTTTTTAAATATTGAATTAATATCTGAGAAGACTGAAGCATATTGGTGTCGTAGTATTACTGAGCTAAAGAAGGATTTCTCTACAAAGGTTTTTAAAGATTTGACAATTTTATATTTTTGTTAATTATATGAAGTATATATATGTATGTGTACATACATGTATTTAGATCGTGATCGCTAGTATTATGTGCACTTATAACAGTGCAGATTGGACAGAGCTTTCAAAGAAAGCAGAAGCAGCTGGTGCTGATGCTTTGGAATTAAATTTATCTTGCCCACACGGCATGGGAGAATCTGGAATGGGCTTAGCATGTGGACAGGTTTGTATAAACAATTAATTTCTTTATTTGACTAATTAGATAAAATACCAGTAATATTTGTAGGATCCAGAATTAGTAAGAAATATTTCAAGATGGGTCAGAGAAGCAGTGAAAATTCCATTTTTTGTTAAATTGACCCCAAACATAACCGATATTGTTTCAATTGCTAAAGCAGCTTACGAAGGAAATGCAAATGGAGTGTCTGCTATTAATACAGTGCAAGGTTTAATGGGATTAAATTCTAATGGGATACCATGGCCTGCTGTAGGATATCATAAATTGACTACATACGGTGGAATGTCTGGAAATGCAACAAGACCACAAGCTTTAAGAGCTGTTTCATCTATTGCTAAACAACTTCCTAGATTTGCCATACTTGGTATTGGTGGAATCGATTCCGCAGAAATTGCTTTGCAATTTTTACATTGCGGAGCATCGATCCTTCAAGTAATGTTAATCATTTTCTCGACAAATAATTACATTTAATATATAACTATCTATTGAGATATTTGTTATTGAAGATTTGCAGTGCTATTCAGAATCAAGATTTTACACTTATCGACGATTATGTGACTGGTTTAAAAACATTATTATATCTGAAGAGTCTTGAACAAACAAAAGATTGGGATGGTCAAAGTCCGCCTACTTTTAAACATCAAAAAGGCAAACCAGTTTCTTTGCAACATGCTCTTGGTAAAGTAAGTATCAATGTGTTTGTATTATTGTGTCATCAAAATTGTTGATATTAACACGTGTTAATAGAATATACCATACTTTGGAGAATATCAAAAATTACGAGAAAAAAAGATTGCAGAGATAAAAGAAAAAATTAATCCATTAGATGTTAAGTTTTCATCAACAAGACCAACACCAAAACCAATTGGGACAGTACCAACTATAAATGATGTTATTGGAAAATCATTATCTCATATTGGAGCTTACAAAGAATTAAATAATCAACAGCAAGTTGTTGCGTTAATAGATGACGTATGTTAATTATTAATATTAATTATGTTTGCATACTTATGTTCTTTTGATGAAGCTTGTTCTCTTTATTCTATTTTTTTTTCTAAGGATATGTGCATAAATTGTGGAAAATGTTATATGGCTTGTGCTGATTCTGGTTATCAGTCAATTACATTTGATTCGGAAACTCATATACCAAAAGTTACTGATGATTGTACTGGTTGTACTCTTTGTTTATCAGTATGCCCTATTATTGATTGCATTACGTAAGTTTTTATATTTATTATTTGGATTATAACTTAATGAATAATTAATAATTATTCACAGAATGGTTCCAAAAACAAAGTCACATATCATTAAAAGAGGTATACTACCAAAAGGTTACATCGAAGCATTGGGTTAAAATTTTCTAAACATTTCTAAACAAATATCAGTAGATATTACTTATTATTAACACATACAAATTATTATAGTAAAATAAATAAGTATTCCATAAAATAGAATACTTAGATGTTTACAAGCAAGAAGAGTCTATTGCAAAAATTGAATGTCATATTATTTACAACTTTCAAATAAAATATTGTGTTAAACAATTAATATAATTTAAATTTAAAAAAATGGATTGTCAAACCATTGATATTTCTTATCTGCATCTAAATCTTGCTTATAATCGACACATTTCTTGTTGATAAGGCTGAAATGAAAAAAAAAGAAAACAAAAACGAATATTTGTTATTATTATAAATGCAATAAAAAAGATATTAATATATATATAAGAAATAAAATGTTATATATACCCAGAATACTTGTTGCACTTTAAAATAGGATAATCCTCGTCGAAACTTTGCGGACTCAAAATATTGAAATAAGTTATTCCAATTTTAGTGGCTATGATTGAATTAGCGCCTTTTAAACAATTGTAAAATGCAGAATCGCATGAACGATGTGATCTGTAAAAAAAAAAAATAAGTAAATAAGTAAAAGGTATCACAATTTTGTTGATATTTTTAGTTGCATGTACTTCTATTCTACCAACTAAAAATAAAATATATATATATATATATATATATCATATACATTGTGGGCAATGCCTAGGAAAAGCTCACAATCTCGGCAAATCCTACTTTCTTTATACATAATATATATATAAAATGAATTATACAACCTCGTAAAAAGTCCAACATTTTTAAGACCGTATTTCTCTTCGCCTGTATTAATATTACTGAAACACTTATCATGATCTCTACAACAAGCATCTGTACTTGCAAAGAAACCAAGGTCTTCATCGTTTTTTGCTATATCGCCATCGCCACACCAAACGGTACCTATAATCATTTTTCAATCAGTTTGTAAATTATTGATTATTGTCTAAAAGTAATAAATAAATAACGATTATTAAACGATTATTAATAATACAGAAATCGTATACATAATAAATAAAAAGTCATTTAATTAAATTATAATTATATGATAATTAAATACCTGGATAAATAGCTCTGAATCTATCAGAAATCGAATTCAAAAATTGACCGTATCCTAAGTTGGTCTTATTATTAACTTCAAATCCTTTAATTGGATCCTTAAGTTTATCTGGAATTTTCGATATAATTTGCTGTACACCTTTTCCAAATATTTTATTTGCATTTCCCAAAGGTACTAAAAATGTGTTAAGAGCTTCTTCGACCGTGGAAAGTTTTGTAGAAACTTGATTAACTTCGAATGTTTCTTCAGGTTCATATTCAAGTTTATTTTCTCCTTGATTTTCAATATTATCAACATTTTTACCGAAATCAAAAATCGGTCTAAAATTTATTAATTTATTCTGCTCGACGTTTTTTTCAGGCTCGTGTTCGAGTTTATTTTCTGCATGATTTTCAATCTTATCAACATCTTTGCCGAGACCAATAATCGATCCAAATTCTTTCCCTCTACTTAGCTCGATTGTTGAGATTATTAAGATCGTTAATACAACGAAACGTGAGTACAGCATTTTTTGATTGGTAAAATATTATCTATCTTTCTGAAAATGATTTCATATAAGTCATTTATTTTATAAATTATGTATTTTTTAAAAATCAACAAAATTATACTCTCTAGTATGCGGTCATGGGTGTGATATAAATGATTTATTTCATAAATTTAAAACATCATTTCTCTTACTGCTTATTGGTATTTTTTTCTTTATATATATATATAGATAGTGATATAATAAAAATTATTATTTATATAAATTAAAAAGAATTTACAACACACTCTTCGATTATTTTATGATTTTCTCATTCAAATAGATCGACACCTATTATTCGAAATCAACAAAATTTGTTTTCAATACTATTCATAAAAAATATATGAGAAAATATTTCAAAATACAAATTGATTCTCTTTCTAAATCGAATAACTATAATTATTTATTAGGCAATAAAATATTTATTGTAGAAAATATTATATACTGTAGAAAATATCAAATATTCATCACACATAATCGGAAACAGTATTAATATTTTTTTTTGTTATAAACAATTAATGGAGCTTAACAAAACTAAATCAACTATTTAAATATTAAACGACTTACCAATGAAATAAGAAGTTAGGTCGTTTGACTGTTGAACGTGGACTGTTCGCTCAGAAACAATTCTGCAACTTTTATTCTACCAACTGACTCAACCATCCGGAATTAATTCCATTAATACCAGTCTTTTAGCAACTGCACAAATATCTGAATAAACGAAGAAACACCATCATCTCTTTTAACGATATAAACAACAATGGTTAAGATTGATCATCAATCAATTTTTTATGGTCTTGTTTCTTTTTTTTCTTCTATCTTTTTTTCTAAATACATATTACATAATATTTTTATTATACACATGTGTAGTTTATTAAAAAATGTAGAATATAAATAATTTTATATATAGAAAGCTAATTTAAATACAAAAAATATTTATTAAAATCTTAGATAAAAACCTAATAGATATAGTAACTAGATGAATTTTACATAAAAATTATAAATATTCTATTTCCGTGTATACAGCAAACTATTATCTTATACAACTTAATAAAGTTATGAAAGATGCTATTATAAATACAATTCTATTTTGCAGCAAATATTTAAAGACATGTAATGAATTCTATTACTTTTATTCAAATTTTCCTCACAATTAGTAGTTTTATATCTATTGCATTGAAATGGCACAACCTAAGTATACGGAAAAAAGAAAAATAAATAAGAAAAAACGAACAAGAAAATGTTTAAGAAATAATACTTGACGCGCTTGTAGAATAAAATTACAATTTATCAATGTCTATAAAATGATATTCTTACCGTTTATTACACAGTATTTCTAAGAATATTTACCATTACTTATTTAAAGATTATTGATAATGATAATCATGTTAACTTCGATCAATAAATTGGTTAATTGCATGAAGAAAAACATGTAAAAGAGACGTTCGTTAACTTGATATTTCTGAATAATACAAAGAATATGCATCTTATTACTTATTGATGATATTTCTGTTAAAAATAACTCTCACAATAAAGATTATTAGTAATAGCCTTGCGCTATCTTCGATAAATAAATTTCAAAATTACACGAAGATAAAATAAAATTAAATTCTCATTGGATATTTCTAAATAATATAAAGAATATTCATCTTGTTACTTATTGATAATATTTCCATTTAAAAATAACTTTTACGAAACTTTTCTCTCTTAATCTTATAAACCATATTAATCACAATTTATTTGTCAATCAATTAATATTGATTTAAACATTTAATCAATTTTAACTTATAGGTATATATATGTAAATAGGCTAAAATATAAAAATATATATATTAACAAGATTATAATTTATTACACGTTCACAATTACGAAACAGTTATTTAAAATTATACATCACAAATTGTAACATCTTATAATTACGTTATAACTTACACAATGAATGGTAACTACGCAAATAATTCTTTTCTTCTTTCCCTTCATTTTCTCCAACTCAATTGTACAAATGTAAGAAGAAAATTATTCATAATGTTTTTCTAATAACGTATATATATTCACTCAATCGAATTTTTAACTTTATGTTCAGGTGATTCATTCTTAGATAGGCTTTTGGTATCTGAAAATTCTCCTTCTTCTAAAGCTCGTCGTTTTTCAAATCTTATACATCGTGGACAAGAATGATTCCGTTTAAACCAACAAGCACGATGGTATACGGCTAAACATTGTTGACAACTTATTGCGCAAGTATCCCAGGAATATATAACTTCATTGTTTCCACACATTTCGCATAAATGACCTCTGAAGATATTATAAATTATATCGTTTATTTTATGATACATAATATATCTATGGGATTACATATACTTTATATACACGATATCCTGTAATCAATGGTATAAACAAGCCAAGGGGAAATTTTGAAAATTGAAACATGAAAAACTAAATCGAGAATGTAAAATAAAATTGTTTATATAAGAATAAATATGAAAATTTGTCAAGTACGTATACTAAATTGCATTTTCGATTTAGAAATGATTCTCATATAGTATCATCCTCTGCTTAGTTGTACCATCAATTACAGGACATCCTGTATATATAAACTTATAATTCTCTAAAAAAAAAAAAAAAAACAAAAAAAAATAATTTTAACTTTACCTAGCTTTGCACAATTTGCATTGTTCGGTTATATGCGTATGCATGATATCATAAGAAGTACGAATTTCTTCTAGTAAAGCACCACTTTGTAAATTAATGAGATCTTTTATAGAATAATTTCCCGGATTTTCAATTATATGTGTGCGCAAACCAATTTTCCATGGCAATCCTTGCATATTGGCTTCTGGACATATTACTAAATAACGCTTCATCATTTGCATTTCTTCTCTCATTTTCTATAAATAAATATTATTTAGTTAGAAATTTATTCTTATAGATTTAATCAAGCTTATTACTTATTAAAAATCATAAAATTTCTAATATCTTACTTTTACTAAAGACAAATCTGGAACTAGTGTAAACAATTTTGGATTTAATTCTTCCAATAGTAAGAATGGACGATCTTCAAGAAGTGCCAATAATTGAGCTGAAGCACGAGAAACAAGCCTTGGTTCCATATCCCAATTTCTAATAACTCTCGCAGGTATTACCATAGTCGTATTCCAATGACACCTCTGGCAGTAATATAAGCCAGTGTAATCGCACAGTCGTGGCTCTACCCATGGTGATTCTATGAGTTTATAATTATTACACATTATAGAAAAAAAAAAGATAAGAAAGAAAATACAAATATCAATAAATTAAGTACTAATCTATCTTTATGCAAAATGAATACTAGCTATGTGGTTACCTGAACTTTTAAAAGGGCTACCAAAACAAGACAATGACAATCCTTTTGGGAATGCTTGTAAGATATAACATACAAATGTAATTAAATAACATGCAGTTATATATAATTATTCTTATTTTAACAAATTGATACAATTTTAAATATACCAGCTATATGCACTTTATCCAAATTTTCAGTCTACATAAGAATATTGTAACAAGATAGGTGTCGAAGTTTCATAATGATATTTTTGTAATATAAATTAGTTTCTATGTACAATGTGTTAAACTTGATTTTGAGTAGATCTCATACGCGACTTATGATATTTCTCAAATTTAGCATACATAGTTGGTATGTCAAATGTTCATTTATATATACTTTGATAATTTAATATGGAAAATCACTTACTAAAAGTTATTCGTATCTTGCACTCTGCGCAGCGGTAGCCTTGATTAGACAATCCTCTTTCGGGACAAATGTCTTTAGTATAAGTATAACCACCGGCTTCACTTGCAATAACATGTACACAGACACGACATATATTGCTTAAACATTTCCAATGAACGCTGAACCTACAATCTATTACATATGATATTAATATTAATTAAAGATATATTTACTAAGTAGTTTGTAGTTTACTAATTAGTGAATTAACTGAATTTACCGCTGCACATGTACCAAGACTGCAGCATCATCCAAATGGTGCCGCTACAGTGATCACAATATACAGGTCCAGAAGAAGTAATATGATACTTTTGAGGAATCAAATGATGACCAAGTATTACATGAGTTTCAAGAAGTTTTTGATCCGATGTTTCTCGTAATTCTTGAACTCGTAAACGTAATTCAATTAAACGTCTTACAAGCCATTTCCTTTCATCCGAACATTCTGCGCTTTCTAATACCATTTGTTTACATTTTTCAATCATTCTTTGTAGATCTTCATCGGATGTATCCTATCATTTGCAAAGATGATAATATAAAAAATATATGTGTGTGTATGAACAAAAAGATAATGTAAAAATTGAAAGAAAAGCATAAGTGTATAGTAAACCTGAGACAACGAAACTAAAGGTTCTACAGATTTCAGATTAAAGGGTATGCTGCCTTTACTGTCAGAACTGTCATCTGCTTCTCCTGTCATATAATCGGACAACGAAGATGGTGTTGAAGTTGTTGTTTCCGAGCTATTTGCACGAGCTCTAATCTCCTGACTATTTTGTTCCTCGTTAGTAATTATTTTTGTGTCTACCATATTTCTTATCTTTAATTTAACATTTGCAATGATAACTGAATGTTTTACATTGATCTATCTAGAATTAAAATATACTGTGTCTCGTTTTCAACGATACAAATTCGACGAGACACGTATCGCGTTCGTTCTCTTTGTATGAAGGCTTCGTTAGTACATACATATGCGTTAAGCAGTATTATAACGTTAGTATCAAAGTTGGCCTCTAGAGAGTGCAGTATATAAATTGTATATTTTCCTAACCAATAATTTTGTTTAACGTGTTAAGTATTTAATTAATGAATCGTTGTTAAAATATAAAACATTATGTCACTGCTCATAAGAGTATTAGCTTTAACCAGAACAACGTTGCAATCTACATTAATCAAAAGAGTAAGGGATTAATCTTCGCCATTGATAATTGATTTTCTTTTAGTTTTGAAAGTAAAATTAATTTTTAGGATGTACCTGTAAGATTGATTTCTTCTTCACACACTTGCTATCAAGAAGAAAGTAATAAAATTGAAAATAGTAATGAAATTGAAAATAATAACGAAATTGAAAATACCGATGAGATAATAGTAGATCCTGCTAAAGACCGTAGACAAGTTATTCCCGTTGAAACTAGTATAGAGTATATGCTAAGCAGCGGTAAGTTAAATTTCATAAAATATCCTATTTAAAAGCGTAGATTCACGAAATATTTAAATAATTAGGAAAATTACATTAGGTTGAGATTTAGAATGAACATTTTTTTCTATGTGCTAACATTTTAGCTTATAAAGAAACTTACGGGGATGATCCTGTATGGACAAAATATCGAAGAAATCATAAAGGACAATTTCCTCCGAGAAAAACAAGAAAAACCTGTGTAGTATGTATTCAATAAAATGATATTAAATTAATAATATATTTTTAAATGAATTCACACTATATAAATATTTGTAGAGAGGTGGTATAATAAGTACTGGTAATCCTTGTCCAATATGCAGAGATGAATATTTGATCTTAGATCATAGGAATGTCAAATTGTTGGAACAATTCATTTCTAAACATACGGGTGAAATATTAAGTTACAAAAAAACTGGCATTTGTCAAAGAAGATATAAACAACTTCTTGTAGCTGTACTTAGAGCGAAAGAATATGGTACTTTAA